AGTCTCACATCAAGCTCCCTACAGGGAGCCCGCTTCTCACTGCACGTATGTCTCTGTCTTCTGTGTCTCTCATGAATAAATAAATAAATAAAATAAAATAAAGATAAAAGAAAAAAGAAGACAGGCACTGCTCCTTTCTGTCATCCACGGCCTCAGAACACATCTGTCAGAGAGCCAAATTTTCAAGAGGGCAGACCAGGGCTGCAGATCAGAGCATCAACATAAAATTACAATTTAATGAGTACCAAACACTGTCCTAAGCTCCCGACATGCCATTCTGCTTCATAGACATCACAGCCCTATGTGCTAGGTATTATCCCCATTGCACAGAGAAGGAAACTGAGGCCCATGGCTTACCCAAGGGCTCCACTTTTACCTGACTCCAAGGCCCCTCAGTCAGCTCTGCTCCTTTGCAGCCCCAACGCAGACATCCAGAACCTCCCTAAATCCTCCTTCCTCCTGTGAAAAAGCAGACTGTCTTCTGCCATTTCCAGGTGGGACCAAACCCAGGGTGAGCCGGACACAGTGACCTGCCCAAATTGTACGGCCAAGGCCCCACCTGTTCTCTCTCCAACACCCATGTCACTCTGCATAAGGGCCCTTGGGGTCCCTCATGCTTCCTGGGGAGAATTCTGGTGGCCTCCCAGGCCTTCACCTTGACCCGTGAGGACAGAACCAGTCAGAAAAAACAAGCTATATGAGGTTCTACCACCAAGGAACACCCCCTGATCTATGTGGCACCTCCCAAGTGAATTAGCCTGCTCCACACAGGGCCCCCACAAGCACCAACCACTCTGAGTCTCTTTCTCTGTTTAATGTGGTGGCTTAGACAAAAAGGACCCTGAAAAGAAAGGCATAGGATGTTCTGGAACTCAGGTACTTCGGCATTAGCAATTAATGTGGGCAGCTGCCTCTGCTCACCAAGTGTGCATTATATGTTGGGCATGGTGTTCAAAGTTCACACCCATCATCTTTGTAACCTTCACAACCCCCAGAGCCCAAGGTACCGTCATTACCACCTCACAGACAAGGAAACAAGGCCCAAAAGGTGCGTGCAATGAAGCAGTTGCGCTAGGGCCAACCTGCAGAGGACTCAGAAGTCCTTGCTCTTCCCACTGCGGCATGAGCAAGAGGCTTAGAAGAATGGGTCAATTTGCATTATGCAGAATGGAAAGGCCAACCATAAAGGTAATTTGATTTTTTTTTAAAGATTTTATTTATTCATGAGAGAGAGAGAAAGAGAGGCAGAGAGACACCGGCAGAGGGAGAAGCAGGCTCCATTCAGGAAGCCCAATGCAGGACTCGATCCCGGGACTCCAGGATCACTCCCCAGGCCAAAGGCAGGTGCCAAATCGCTGAGCCACCCAGGGATCCCCGCTCCTTCACAATCTTAAGGAGGAAATGTGACCTTCACACCCATGAGCGGTTATGTTTAAAAAGAAAAAAAAAAAAAGGCACAGCTGGGACATTTTAAATTAAGGACTTTCAATGCACCAGGGGTGGGGGGAAAGAGAGGGCACAAACCCATAATGTTTCAGCTGCATATAGTGACCTACCAAAGTGACTCATCAGAAGTATCTAAAAAGTAACTGACAGGCAACTGACAGATGAAGAAGATACTCAGACCATGTAACAAAACCAGTACAACCTATAGTCTTAATTATTAGTAAGAGAAAACCATTTGTCAAAAACATTCACCATGCACCAAACCTGCTACGTGCTATCACATGCTCTACTCATCACAAGCTCACTGAAGAAACTGAGGCCAAGTAAGTCACCTAAGGTCACACAGCAACAGGAACTGGGTTCACACCATCAAAGCCCACATCAGCTTGCTGGAATGCTTAAGAATACAGAGTCTAACTTGTGATCATCAATAAGTTAAATGTCTAACAATTTTTACACTTCTCTGTAAGTTAGAGTTCAGGGAAAAGGTTTTTAAAAATGAGATACACAAGGGGGAAAAATAATGCAGTTTCTGGAGGTAGACTGGGTTCAAATCCTAGTTCCTCCACTTACAAGTTGTGTGACCTTGGACTAGTTTAACTCATATGCCCAAATATCCCTGGAGTAAAATGGAAACAATAATAGACCCTATCTCCTCAGGCAAATAAAGTCTTTAGAATCATGCCTGGCATGAGTTAAGCCTCAGAAGATGTTGGCTGGTGTTACTTCTTCCTGGGCCCTAGATAGGGCCAGCCAGCTCAGGCCCACTATTTTAGCAACTCATTTGCATAAACAAAGCCAGACTCAGCCACTTCGTGTCTGCCAGCCTCATTGTATGGTTTCTTCCTGTCACTAACATCTCTCCTCACACAGGCTCTGTGGCACTAAGCTCCGGGCCTCAATTTCCCATCTGTAAAATGAGGTGATTAGCCCAGCTGATCTACCTGAGGTTCTGGCAGCTTGGCAGTCCAGAAATTCTTAGCAATTCAGGTCCTAGAGATATCATAAACACCCTAAAACAAACATTAACAGATAACATGCACTCCATTTGCCTAAAATCTTCTTTTACATATTATGTATAAATGCCTATTTTGATGGCAAATCTTCTGCAAGGTCCCAAGCTCCACGAGCACCCACAATATACTGGGCAGGCATCCCCTGTGTTAAGGCTGGGGACATGATGGTCAGAAGCTTTGACCGACAGGGCAGACAGATTCTAAAACCAGCCACTCTGATAGGCAGGTCCTCTCTGTCAGAGAGGACTTCAGCAGAGCACCGGTGAGAGGATGTGTAGACATGAAAGAACTTCGCCCACTGGACAGAGGGGAGTAGGGCAGCTGGTGGGAGGGATGATGGAGGGATGGAGAGGAATGGCTGGATCCAGAGGCCAGGCAAGGCAGTGCCAATGCTGGTGTGAGAGGATGGGCTGGGGGCGCATTATGGAAACTGTTTCACAAGCAGGAAGCCAGCCCAGCTCAGCATGAAGCAAAGCGCTGGGCAGGAACCTGCTGGGACCACGGAAGGGCAGTTAGGTGAGCTGAACCTCGCCCAGTGACCTGGTACAGTCTGAATCTCACCCATGCCTCTCGCCAGTCGGGTAACCCTGGACCAGTTACTTTACCTCCTTTAATGTTTCCCAATGTTTCATTCACTCAGTAACGCTAATGAGACAAGTTCTCATTAGGGCTAGGCATCAGGTGGAGCCCACAGTCTACAGGGATCAAATATATACAACAAAGACAGCCTGGGGGGCGGGCGGGTGAGGGGCAACCCAGGCACAGCAGGGGGTTAAGAAGTGGGAAGAAGTCATACCCAAACCTGAGGCAGGGGCTGGTACTGGCCACATAAACTGGGCAAGAGGCAGTGTTCCAGGACTGCTGTAGGACTAGCCAAGTCCAGGCAAAGCACCTAGCGGTGTGCAGATGCAACCCACCTGTAGAGGGAGGGGGTCTGGGTGGCTCAGCTGTTTGAGCACCTGACTCTTAGTTTTGGCTCAGGTCATAATCTCCCGGTCCTTAATATAAGGACCCCATGAGGGTCCATGCTCAGTAGGGAACCTGCTTGAGATTCTCTTTCCCTCCACCCCTTCCCCTGCTCATGTTCTGGCGTGCTCTCTCTCCCTCCCAAATAAATAAATTCTTTTTAAAAATGAAAAATAGGGATCCCTGGGTGGCGCAGCGGTTTAGCGCCTGCCTTTGGCCCAGGGCGTGATCCTGGAGACCCCGGATCGAATCCCACGTCGGGCTCCCGGTGCATGGAGCCTGCTTCTCCCTCTGCCTGTGTCTCTGCCTCTCTCTCTCTCTCTGTGTGTGTGTGACTATCATAAATAAAAATTTAAAAAAAAAAAAAAAAAAAAAAAAAAAAAATGAAAAATAAAGGAAGTCAAGACAACAGCAAGGTGCTAATATCCTTGCTGACAGGGTCCTAAAGATGCAACCCTCCTCAAGTAGCCTCAGTACATAAAATACGTCATGCCCAGGAGCCTCCTGCCATAGAACTTTCCAAAGCAAAGCTTTCAATTCCATTACCGAGAAATGGTGCTGTACAATTTCAAGGCAAAAAAAGTGGGGTATTTTTGGCCGGGTAGGGCTCCAGCCCCTAAATGCCCACTGCCCAGCGGGGTCCGGAGCCCGCGGGGACAGGCCTCCTGCTTCCTGAGGCGTCCACATCACGGCCTCACCCCCGCAGCTTCCTCCTGGCAGCTCGGGCCCGGGAGGGCGGCCTGTGGCGCACCCCCGACACACCAGCTCCCGACGCACCAGCTCAGCGGCCCGTTCCCCGCCCTGCGGGAAGGATCCCCAGGCCCCGTCTCTCCCGCCTCTCCTGCACAGAGAGGATCTGCGGCCGGGGCGAGGGGGTCTCTGAGGCCGGCGGAGTCGCTGGCCCGGGGACAGGGAGTCTGAGAACCTGGGGGTTCCGTGGTCTAGCAGCGGTTCCAAGAACCGAGGTCGGGCGCTCCGAGGGGGAGGGGAGTCGAGGGCCCCAGACGCCGGCTGCCCCCAAGCGCAGGGGTCCCTGGTCTGGATGGCTCCCGAGGCGGGAGGGGCCAGGGGTCGGGGGCCCCCCCGGGATGCTGGGCAGGATCGCGGGGTGGAGAGGATCCCGGGGGTTGGGGTCCCAAAGTGGAGGGGTCTCCCGGGAGGGGGGCTCTAGGCCCCCAAGGATGGGGTCAGAGACCTCGAGGGTAGAGGGGGCGGCGGCGCGGCGGCGCGCGCCGGGCCAGCCCCTCTCCGGCCGGGAGCCCGGTGCATCGCAGCACAAAACTTTTCGTCAAGTTCCGGAAAAGGAGCGTGTCAGCGCGCGCGCCTCCCCGAGGGCCGGCAAGCCACGCGCCCCCGGGCCCCGCGAGGTCACCCGGCCCCACGCGCTGCCCCGCTGCGGGGCGGGGAAGCGGCGGTCGCGCGGCGAAGGGTCGCCCAGCCGGGCCCGAGCCCGCGCGCCCCGCCCGGCCCGGCCCGGCCCGCCTCCCGCTCCCACTCCCGCCGACGCAGCAGCAGGTGGCACCGGCCCCCCTGCTTCCCTCCCTCCCGGCCCCCGCCAGACGCCCCCAGTACCGGAGTCAGCGCGGCTCCGACGCCATCCCCGGGGCCGGCGGGCGCGCAGCCCAGGCCCCCGGGACCCGCAACTTGCGCGACGAGGACGCGGGGCGCGCCGCAGGCGGTGGGCCGGGCGGGCAGGTGCGCGCGAGCCGCCCGCGGCCAACAGCGGCGCGCGCCCTCGCCCGCCCCGCCCCGCGCCCTCGCCCGCCCCGCCCCGCGCCCTCGCCCGCCCCGCCCCGCGCCCTCGCCCGCCCCGCCCCGCGCCCTCGCCCGCCCCGCCCCGCGCCCTCGCCCGCCCCGCCCCGCGCCCTCGCCGCGCCCCGCCCCCTGGCTCGCCCCGCGCCCTCGCCCGCCCCGCCCCGCCCCCTCGCCCCGCCCCCTCGCCTCGCCCCGCCCCCTGCCGGCGGCCGCCGCTCTTCCGCCCGGCCGCCGCCCCGCCCCCGCCCCGCCCCCTGCCGGCGGCCGCCGCTCTTCCGCCCGGCCGCCGCCCCCCGCCGCGCCGCCGCCACCGCTGCTCGCGCTCGACGTTCTCCCTGCTGCCTGCCGCTCCTCAGCCGCTCGCCCGCCGCCCGCGGGTTCCGGAGCGCCGTCGCCGCCCCTTTCCTCTCCCGAGGGCCCAGTGGAGCCGCGAGGGGAGGCCGGAGGGCAACTCCGGGTCCGCCCGGCCCCGGGGACACCCGCCAGGGGCCTCCGTACCTGGTCGGCTCCACCCGCGGCCATCTTGGAAGTGGGAAGCGGCCGGGAGGGGGAAGGGGCGCGAGCGGGCAGGGACCAGGCCTGGGGAGCCGAGCGGCGGAGCGCATCGATGGGCGCCCCGGGCCCCGGCAGCTGTGCGGAGCGGCCGGCCGGCCCGGGACGTGCGGCCCGGGGGACGTGGCTTCGGCGGCCGCCCGGCCCGGCCTCAGTCTCTCAGTCTGTGAAGCGGGCTTTTCTGCTGGTTCTCCCGGGAGCAGCCGTTGTGTAGTGCCTCGCGCCGGAGTTCCCACACCTGGCTGCACGTTGGTGCTGCCGAAGGAGTTGGGGAATCCGACTCCGGTGCGCGTTAAATCACTGCTTCCGGAGACAGTGGGGTGCAGCGTGGGGACCGCTGGCCTCACGCTACTGTGCAGTATCTGGGGTCAGCAGTGCAGACGCTCCGGAGGCCGGGTCTGTGATAAAGCCGTGCAGCGTGGGCGATGAGGTCACGCCCCGGGCCCCGGGCCGGGACCGGAGCAGAGGGTCGGAAGCCAGCCCCCCCCTCCCCCCCCCCCCCCCCCCCCCCCCCGGCCCCGACCGCCTTCCAGCGCCGCGCAGAGCCCCCGAGGATCTAGGCTGCCGGCGCCGGGGCGGGTTTATCTCGGGCACTGCTGCGTCGTCTGGGCCTGGCACCTGGTCGGCACGTATTGTTGAGTTCTCTTCTGGGGCCGTCAAGAGCAGAGGACAAGCTTCAGTGGCTCGGACCCCGGAGCCTGAGGGCTGTCACTGGCAGGGAGCTGGATCAGCTGGATCTGAAGGAGGATTTGAACGGGGAGAGCGGTCAGGGACCGGAGGATGGCCTCTCCTTTGCAGAAGGCATCCAGAAGCATGTGCTGGAAGATGCATTTGTTCCAGCCATGGCCGTGAACCTTGGGCCAAGGGCCCCTTGTTTCTCCTGCCTGCGTGCTAGTCCTAGGTGTAAAGACTCTTAGAGCCTACTATTAGTAATGATGGCAGGAGGGGTGAGAAATTTTTAAATGGCAGTCTCTTAAGAGAATATATTAACACCCTTTACGGTGCCTGGTGCATAACAGAAGCTTTACAAATGCTGACTTTCCTGGGTGGTTTTCAGGAAAAATGTTGGGTCTCCTTCAAACCCCAACACCATCTCCATTTATTTTTAGAAAACACTAACAAGAAAGTACAGACTTGCTTCAGGCCTGACTTAATTAGCAGTGTAATAAATAGGATTAATAACTCTGCATTTACAGTGTTCCTTGCACCTCCCCCAAATCCCTTCTCGCCCTCATTCTGAGTCTTAGGGTTTTAAAGCCCCACAATGACTGGGAACCATTGTTCTGAATCCAGAACCAAAAAAAAAAAAAAAAAAAATTATGGCCCACAGATTTACATTTGGTGCCCTCTGTCTGCCTCTTCCTCACCCTCTCCCCATCCTGCCACCCACGCCCGGCTCCCTGCCCCAGCACAGAGTCCCTCCCTGGGGCCCATCAGACACTTACCACCCTGAGTGTGCCAAATAATTAAAAATACAAGGAACAAGATAAGCTGTGTGGGCATCTGCACTTGTGTCACCTGTGAGACCCTCGGCGCCTCCCAGCACCCATCTATGACACAGAGACAACTGTGGCAGGGTGGTCAGTGCCGTGTCCCCCTCTGCTGCCTCACTGCTGACTGCCTTGGCAAAGTCGTGCAGACTGAACCCCGAGATCCACAGAAGGATTCTCAGCAGCATTGCTCCTTTGAGGGCTGCCAAGCTGTTGCTTGATGTAGACAAGCACCGGCTGTCAGGGTCCTCCACTCAGTGCCAGGCCCAGCACTGACTGACCGGTCCTTGGCTGTGTCCAGAAGCTTTTCCCCATCTACAAGGCTTACGGCGCCTTCGCCACCCAAGATGTGTGAGGATTAGAGACAAAGTAAGTGGCAGTGACAGGTAAATGTAAAAAATTGCCTGGCTTTGTCAGTTTGTGGCACGTTTGGGGAGCTCTTGGCACCTCCCCAGTCATACAATGTGCACAAAGTGTGTGGTCAACCGGCCAAGGTGAGGGGGCACGTGAGCCTCCCAGACAGCCCACGGAGGGACTCACGTCTGACCTCTGAGCCTCCCTGGGCTCATAAGCACGAGCAGGTGCCTGATAATCCATGGAAACCACCCTGTGCTGGGCCCTGGCCACACAGAAGTGATTGACAGCCCAGAGTTCCTGCCCTCACAGGTCCCCAGTCCCGAGGGGCAGATGGACATGTCACTTCACAAATTCAGCCACATCTCCTTGCAAGGAAAACAATGAACTGACCAGATGCAGACCCCAGAAGGGTCACAAGCACGGTGTCAGGACCCCTACAGGTCCCCAAGCCCATCCTTCAGAGGCGAAAATTGCAGGTGGGGTGGGAGGTGGGCACAGGATGAAGTCGGAGGCCTCTTGCCCTGTAAAACCCCTTTGCATTTCTTTCAGGAGATATGGGGATCAAGTCTCCCAAACACACGTTTTGCTCCTTACTCTTCCCCAGCCCCCTGAATGTGAGCTCCATAAATATTTGTTGAATGGATGCACAAATGCTGCTCACAGCTGCACCTGTACCTGTAGCCATCCCAGGTGCCCTGTGCTGTCCTGGCTGTTGCATGCCATTACCACAGTCGAGCCCCATAACCTGCCAGGCTGGCACAGTGACTCGCATTTTGCAGGTAAGGAGACAAGCGCTGCACGGTGAAGCTGTTCAGTCCACGGTTCGCTGCTTGTTCTCCGCTGTCCAGAAGGCCTTGCCCGCTCACCCACCCCCCTCCCTGCCTCCCTGTCGTCAGCCTCTGTTCAGAGCCACCAGGGCCAGCCACCATCCCCACAGGTCAAAGGCAGATAGCACAGCCTCCATTTATTCCAAAAAAGAGTGTCTCCTCAGCCCAAGCGTTTTCAGAAATCCACCAGAAAGGTTATCCTTTCTGCCTTTACTCCTTGGAGTGTTAACTCCTTCACCGCAGACGTGGGGGCATTCACTTCTTGGAAAACAATGCTTGGAATTTGCAGTTCTTTTGATGCTTCTGGAAACTGAGCCATATAATAAGAAATTTAAAATAAATAGAAACAGAGGCAGGGGGCAGCCCGGGTGGCTCAGCGGTTTAGCACCACCTTCAGCCCAGGGTCTGATCCTGGAAACCTGGGATGGAGTCCCACAGGCTCCCTGCATGGAGCCTGCTTCTCCCTCTGCCTGTGTCTCTCTCTCTCTCTCTCTCTCTCTCTCTCTCTCTCTCTCTCTCTCTCTCTCCTTCTCTCTCTCTCACTGTGTCTGTCATGAATAAATAAATAAAATATCAAAAAAAAAAAAAAAAAAAAGAGGCAGGGAGAGCCCAGGAGCACTGGAGTTCAGCCTTCCCACACCCTCAGGCCCAGAGAAGACAGCCAGGGACACAAAGATGGAAAGGTGTCAGAATGGACCAGGGAAGCCACCAACAAGCCCCTGCACTTTGGGGCAAGAAGCAGCACTCAGATCCCCACCACCAGAGCCATCAACTGGTATTTGGCAGTTTTAACAGGTGCACTCACAAGCTTCCTACCTGCAGTCGATTAAACTCCGTGAATGCAGGGAGGCAGAACTTTTAGTAGCAACATCTTCATGAACAAGAGAAGGCATGGCTCCAGCCAAGGAGGAAGCGAAAGAAAACAAGTGTAACACACAGAATGTCTCCGGTCTATTGGTACACTTGAAAGGAGCTATTCTTACCCCAAAATTCAGGCAAAAACTATTGTAAGAAAGATGTTCACTGGTGTTATTTGCAATAGTGAAATGGACATAACATGAATGCCCGATCATGAGGGAAGATTAAATGGAGAGACTTATATGCAGCCATTAAGAAATGTTTAAAGAGTTTATTACAGCACAGGAGAAATGCTTAAGTTATAAGGGTAATACTGAATTTTAAATAAAGTATAATGAAAGAATATGGAATATGTATCATCTACAGGCATGAACAGAAAGAAACACTGATATGAATATTGGAACACACCTGATTGTCTTCTGTCCCTATATATTTAGAAACTTTTAGATTTCCCCACAAGTATATGCTCTGTTTATAATGACAACATGCTGGGATGTTTAGGTGGCTCAGTGGTTGAGCCATGCCTTTGGCTCAGGGCATGATCCCAGGGTCCTGGGATGGAGTCCCATGTCAGGTTCCCTGCAGGGGGCCTACTTCTCCTTCTGCCTTCTCTGTGTCTCTCATGAATAAATAAATAAAATCTATCTATCTATCTATCATCTATCTATCTATCTATCTATCTATCTATCTATCTATCTATCTAATGATGATGTACTAAGATGTTCACTGCTGGATAACCAGGAGACTTTGAGAAGCACAGTAAACCATCGGATGAGGGCTCTGTGTCCAGGGCCCTTCTTCCCAAAACCTCGAGATAAGCAAAGCAAGACCCGTTCGGTGCTCATGCTGCAAGAGGTTAGGGAGAGACCATGCACAGCCAGAC